GTCAAATGATTTCTAAGTCATTTGCAGGAGCATGCAATCAGATAATCATTGTGCCCACAGCTCACAGTGTTCACATTCTTATATTCAATGTCTCCTGCAGGAGAATAAATTAGGTGCAACTTCTCCAGAAGCGTGCGTGGGGGGCAATTGTGGCTTGCTGTTTTCTTGAGGGCAAATACCCCCCGCCCAGTTTCCAGTGACTCACTATCGGGTTTACACAAACTAACACAACTAATCACCAATTAATGTAGGGCCTCTCCATGCAGCTATACTCACATTTGTCAATCCCCTTGTAGGTATTTATAGATTGTGGAAGCAATGTGTTACTATTGGATACCTGCTAAGCACCTCCATTAAAAAAAAAACGATTTTATGGATGCCTCCGTAAATGGGGGCCCAGCAGCACCCACCAGCCTCCCTTTAACTGAGAGCCCGCCTCAGGCTCAAGAAACTGAGTAAGCAGTCTGGAGCATCTATTTGCTTTTTCAAAGGCTGTGATACAAGAGATACAAGTATTGTCATACTGATATTCTGTACAAACTGTGAAGTCCACTGAGACAAATGTAACATTTGTGATATTGGGCTATATAAATAAACATTGATTGATTGATTGAGAAGGAGCGATGACATTTATATAAACAGGATCAGTTTGGCTCAGATCGTTATTCTCTCCGCATGACAGAATCACATTTAGATTCAACTCACGACGCTGTCTATAAAGCACACTCACGTTTGAGATTTACTGTTCCATACTAATATCTTGTTGAATTTGAAATGGACACATTTCTTTATAAAATGTAAGAATTTGTTCTAAAACACAAGACACAATTGAACATGTCTTATCATAATGATTTCATGGAGCAGACCGGCTTGATTTTCATATTTTAGTCTTTTAGTTGAGATGAGACAGTATTGAGTTTTGCTAGTCGGATTTAGCTTTGATTATTTCTTAGATTGTGTGGTCAACATTTCAAACAAAGTGCAGCCATGCAGAAATCACTGGTAATTGAACGTTGTCAGAATACTCATCACTCGATAGGGGATGGGGAGACAGAGCCACAAAGGTTGTGACCTAACACCACACAAGGTGAAATGTAATTGGGCGTGCGAGAGATGTGCAGTGATTTGATAGAAAGGGCACTTTTTGTCCTCTGGAGGGCTTCCTTCTAGAGGCAGACATGGTCATTTATTCATGAAGCACCATCATGAACACAGTGGTAATTACACAAGACTGTGTCCACAGGGGTGTGAAATCCATACTGAGGAGGGGACAATCACCACAGCTGAGAGGGAACATTAAACACATGGCTTATTATGAGCTCATTTTAGCACAACAGCTACAGCACCGCAGCACATGAGGAGAAAGCAGCAGGACACATTTAATGAACGGCAAATAATGGCCCCAATGCTGCTGGACTATCTTTAATTATATTGTTTTTTTTACTGTAATGTTACGATTACAGTACATGTTGGAAATGTTCAACTGATTATCTTGTTGCATTCATCTGCAGTTTTTTCTCTAAACACGTAAAACACACATTTAAAAATCATTTTATACACATAATAAATATTGTACAATTATCTAGAACCATTTTTGACTCTGAAACCCTATTCTGTGACTCTGGACTTGGAGAAAAAACTAGGGTTGAGGTTATGAGCGTTCATTGTCACCTATAGGCTTTGAGAAAGTTAAATGTTTCACTCTAGGAGTTGTGTTTAATAGATGCTGCACAACGTTTAGGGCACGAAAGGTCTAACGAAAAAAAACGATCAAATTGCGTTATGAGAAATGTAAGACCCAGTTTTTGTGGAGCTTGAATCATGCATGGGAGAAAAAGCCAGAGTATCTAATATCTAATATGCTTCAATTCATTTAAAACAAATTCTGTTGAGCCCTCTTATTGGCCGAGCAAATAGCCATGTGATTGGGAAATTGAAAGGAGCCCTCTGATTGTCCCATTGTAGCAGCAATGCTAAATTGTACAATTGTCCACTCCACAAACTACTAAACTGGTTGTGCAAAATAATCCCAACACATTTTTGACATATAAGCATTTTCAGAGCTTTCAATCACATCCCACAACCTTAATGAGAATATAGAACTCGCTTAAGTGAGCCAAAAAGCTGAGAAAGAGTTGGTAGAATAATTCAACAATCTGACCGAAGATCAGAGCCGTCTATCTGTTGCGATCAGTCGCTTCGTTCTTCTCATTGTCACCAGGTTTGGTCCATGAGGAGGAAGAGTGTGTGGGCATGCATTGCGATGTGTCACAGTGTCTTGATTTAATACTTCCACTGGATGGCGCCAAATTAAGAAATGTTCAACGCATGAGGGAGAGGCATGAGCAGCGTACCACCATCTTTTCATCTACCTCAGACACTCTGAGAGTCTGTGTTTCAAATGACCCAAACATGACCATGCCTATCTTTTAGTATTGTATTTTTAAGACTATTAGGTTTAACCTCTTCCCCCTCTTCCTCTCCTCTTCCCTGCCTCCAGGTGGGTAAGATCAATCTGCTGGCAGCCCATCGCAGAGAGCAGCACATTATGGCGATGGTGTTATCCATGGTGTCCTGCTACATGCTGTGCTGGATGCCCTATGGCATCATGGCGCTGGTGGCCACCTTTGGGAGGTCGGGGCTGGTGACCCCCGTGGTCAGCGTGGTGCCCTCCGTCCTGGCCAAGTTCAGCACCGTCATCAACCCCATCATCTACGTGTTCTTCAACAACCAGGTTAGAGCCGAGGGCAGGGTTAGGGTTACGATGTAAGATCTGTTGGTTAAAGGGCAAATTAATGCTCAGCTCATCTTGGAGGAAAATAGAGGGATGGTGTTTCTTCCACAGAGGAGAACTCATTACAACACTTCTGTGACATTGAGGATGCTCAGTCTCAGCCAGTTATTTTTATCGTGGCTTTCAGCGCCTCTTCAGTACCACTTCTCAGGTGCTACATGCAGCACACTAGATAGTTTAATGTTCCCTATGGTAGCCAGAGAGCTCTTCTCCCCTACAGCTGTATTAAATAGATGTCACGGTCCTACTGATTTGTCTTGGGAAAGCTTTTGTTGGGATTTGCAGGTCAGATTTGACTTGATGTCTTTTGTCCTGAAAATCATCAATTCATAAATACTCTTTTGCACTTTTACACAGTTTTATAGATGCTTGGTGGCCTTCATGAAGTGCAGCGGAGAACCCCAGTCTCTTCACGGAAAGGAGAACCCAACTGCGAGGACAACCTTATCTGGGTTCTTCCCAGTCCACAGACAAGCCTCCCTCAGCTCCTCCCAGCGTCAGATCCTCAGCCAGCACAATGACCAACACACTCTCGTTGTCCACTACACCCCATAGAAGCTTTTTTTAATCGTTTCCATCTAACATACTGTGAAAATTAAAACAATGTTTGTTTGTTTTTCTGAATTTCTGTCCAGAATCTTCTTGATGTTTTATTTTTTCTCCTAACGTTTCATTGTTTTCTATAAAAAAAACTGAAACCACACCAAACAGGAGTATTGAATTCAAGAACAATATAATAATGAGTACCTACCTCATACAACAATTACAAACCTGTACATTTTAAAAACTCTCACATAATTGTCTGACTTCACAGGCAGAATTGAAAACAATAGACTGATTAAGGGAGTTTCTGGGATTTGTAAACAACATGTTGTATACTCAGTGTATTTATAGATGTACATGTATATATTTACAGTGGAGAATTGAGAACATTATAAACCACTAGGGGAAGCTGTAAGCCGTTGCAAAGACATGCCCACATGGAACCATTTAAATATGCAGCATTTGCAGTTTTCTCATAGTGGTTGCATCATCAAACACTACATAAATTAAGCAACATTTAAATATGTAATATATATATATATATGTTGACCTGGTGTTAGATACAACAACAATTGTTACTCTTAAACAGTTACAACTGTATTGTGCATTATACAAAATGGTGTGCATATCACCCAACACTCATAACTCTAAAGGTCATGTTGTTAATATTCTGTAACAAGTATTGATATGTGTACTAAACATACAGTGTAACCGCTATTTGTGTGCAGCCGCCTGTCACCTGATCTGTAAATACACCACATTAAGAACGTTTCACATTAGCCTTTTCAGCCTTATGCTCCACCACAACCGAACGAAGCTCGTACACACGCAGAGTGTATGCAAGATGAATGACCTTTTGTTTATCTAAAAAACGTTTACATTGATTTATACTGTAATAAATTAAATCTGTGATAATACTTCCCATAAATATATCAACATTGTGAAATATTTGAAAAAAAAAATCTTCTTGGCATTTTTGGGACTGAATTATGCACAACATATTGTCATACATTCAGCTTTTCTCAAGTGCTGACGGAGACTTTACGTTGAAATGTTATAAGGATAAATGAGTAGAATATGTCTTATTTCCATCTTTCATTATTACTCTATAATTCATATCTGTATTCTGCTGCTGCTGCTGTCTGAGAAACGGTGTAAAACTGTGTAAAAATACATTTAGTGTGTACATTCTGCCCTGTCTGTGTTTCTGTATTGTTTTTGTTGTATTACATATTTTCTTAAATTATGAGAAAATGAATTAATAAATGTCTATATCATACTATTTGTCATTCATTGTATACTGAAACTATTGGGCAATTTGTCATACTTTGGCCCAAAATAGAAGTTTTGCCACATTGACATGGAATGACAGAGCGTGCTATTCAGGGACACATATCTGACACACAGGCAGGGGAAAATACAAGTAAAATGAGGTATGTCAGACAACACACACACACACACACACACACACACACACACACACACACACACACACACACACACACACACATGCACACACGCACACACGCACACACACACACACACACACACACACACACACACACACCACACACACACACACACACACACACACACACACACACACACACACAAACCAGAAGTCACAGATCTGTACCTCAGAACTTCCAGGAAGTAGCGAGAAACAAACTCAGTTGCTTGAGTGCAAGTGTTCAGAAGTGCATGGGATGTCACAGAGCCCGGGCTCCTTCAGGATTCAGCACTTCTCTCCACCATGATCAACACTTACCAGACCAGTGTCGCTGCACCGCCGGTGCCTCCACGCCTCAGCCGGTCCCAACAGGTCCTCTTCCCAGTTCCATCACAAGGCCACAGCAAGTCTCTCATCAGGTTCCTGGTCGGTGTAGTGGTGCTGCACTTATTCCTTTCAGTCGGAGGATTCATCTACCTGAGGCAAAATGACACAATGGTAAAATAAAAGGACAATTTTTTTTAAATGTACTAATAGTTGGTGGCACTGCTACATGTTTTATTACAGATATTATATAGCAATGTTTCAATACATTACAAGTTAACATGTTTTACTTTGCACTTACTATATAACGGTAAAAGTCCTATTGTTATTTTAAAATAAATCTAAAACTAGTGTAAACACTCTTTCTGTTCTATTACAAAAATAAATAGATCTTTAAATTCTTATTTCAGATTAATTGAATGCTATTGAAATAGATCTGTCACATCAGTGTAAAAATATAACCAGCATGTCAATGAAACTGTGCAACAGGAAATGCTCTTGAACAAACAAGTGAAGTGTGATATTCACAGCTCAGTCGTGTGTTACAAAATGAGCGTTTTGCAAACAAAAAATATCACAACATTTAATTATGAATATTAAACATTTGCAATATGTATCTTTAGAAATTCCACATATTGTACTGCTTGTTCCTAATCTACTGATTTGTTTTCTCCCATCAGCATCAATCCCAGCTCCCATCAGGTGAAGGAAAAGGTATGTTGATTTAATTCATTTATTCCTGAAAGTAATATTAACAATGTTTAGTAGGTTGCATAAAAATGTGCAATCTCACCTGTGTCTCTGATCAGATGTTTGTTCTCTTCTCCAGGTGCCTATCGCTCATCAGGAAAGCAGGAAACATCAAACAGAGCCCTGGCCCGCATGGTAGTCAAGCAGCAAGATAAGAAGCAAGTTCTGAAACGAGTCAAAGGATGTAAGGAATATTAAAAACAACATACTTTTTGGATATATGAAATGCAGTAAAGATATTTTTTAGATGGTTAAAATATATGTTACTTAAACTTCTCCCTGTGTCTCTCCAGCGGGTTATCTCCAGTGGGACATGGACCACTCAGTTTTAAAGAGCGTCAGTTACTACCACGACATGTGGTTGACCATCGAGCAGCCTGGCGACTACTACGTCTACTCCAGGGTGACCTTCTCCAAGGGCGACACCACAAGGCCGCTGGTCAGCATGGTGAAGCTGAGGGAGAGTGAGAAGAAAGAGGAGAAGATAGTGATGCAGGCGTACTGCAACCTGAACATCAGCACACAGCAGCTGTGCACGGCCACACAGGGAGGGCTGGTCACACTGGAGAAAGGGGACCAGCTCAGTGTCTGGTTACAAGATCTTTCACTGTTGACCTACATGGAGGGGGCCACAGCCTTTGGGATATTCAGACTGTAGGACCCCTGGACCTACGTGGATGTACTTGGATTTAAATCTACAGAGAACACTGTTAAATAGACTGGATCGATTATCAAACTAATGGATTCTGATCTTCATAGAGACCTTTCCTAAAATATAATTTATTAAATCAGATTTTTTTTTGTATGGCAATGATGTGGAAGATTGTTCTGTATTTATTATTGTAAACGATGTTGTATGGCTGTGAAATGAAACTTTGATATTTAATCCTAAAGATGTCTTCTCTTTTTCATCTGCTTTATTTTCACGAGTTAGAAGTTATGTTGGTCTGCACACATTAGACCAAAATAGCCGGTCCGGAACATTCAGGAAAATGCAAAATAGTTAAATCGGTGTAAAGGAAAGATGTGTAAGGCAAGGCAAGGCAAGGCAAGTTTATTTATATAGCACCTTTCAAAAACAAAGGCAATTCAAAGTGCTTTACAAAAATGAAAGACATTAAGAAAATGACATTTAAAAACAAAATAATAAAGATAATAAAATAAACATTAAAAGAAAAAAATACATGAATAAAAGTTACAGTGCAGTTTAAGTTCAATTAAAAGCAGCGGCAAAAAGCCTGGATTTAAAAGTAGTCAGAGTTGCAGCGGACCTGCAGGTTTCTGGTGTAGACGTTTCATATTTTTTTTAAACTCAGTTTTAGTCCTGAAAAATCTGAATTACAACAGCTGATCAGGTGATAACACATTTAAAGTAGTAGTAGATCAAAGACTATCACATTCTTCTGAAATTCACAAAATGGTCCTTCACAGGCTACTCAGAAATAAAACTTCTTCACCACACTCTGAAGAGTGCAACACACACTGCATTTCAAATCTAGCGCAGTCTGTATACCACTATAGTTTTGCAATGAGAAACCACATTGGAAAGATGCATTTTCTCATGAAGCTAAGCCACAAGAAACAAGAGCACTCAGGTTGGTTACCAATCGAGGGTCTGTTATTAGACTCAGGACTGACCGTCATTTTTTTATGTGTATTCATTTAAGTAAAGAAACAATACATTGTTGTTTTCAGTGCTACAAGTCAGTTATCTTCTCTATTGAAATAAATGCAGTGTCCACATTTGATTATTCCAAGGACCACACAATAATTACAAATCATATAGATGTAACTGTACTGCTGAACATTTTCCAAAGAAAGTTACAGACTTTCCACTTTTGAATATTTCTTTCTTTCCTGACAGCCATTGGTTCCCATTCATTTCCATGTGCCATGCGAGTCAATAACCAAACTTATGAAACTTGTTTGAGTTTGGAAATCCATTCACATTAAACCCACAGGTTTCATTTATGTTCTCTATCATGTGGTGATACACTTTACATGCAGAATATAGACACTCCCTCACAATGATAATAATGAATATGGACTTTACATTCATTATGGTTGATTACACAACTCAAGAGGGCTATTTGATTTTAAACAGCATACAATTGATTTTCGACCTTTCGGCCAAAAAGCAGGAGAAAATGCAACCTGGTTTGAAAGTATCAATAATGTCAGGTATTCATAACTAGTAGTAAATAGGCTAAAACACGAACATGTTAATGTCCTGTTAAAATGCACGTGTACGTTTGAGAACTTTTTTATTAATTAATTAACCGGATACATAAAAGCCTACATGTATGAGTTCCATGTAACTGTAACCAGCCTGATGACTAATATGAGATTTGGTGAGAAATGTAAAAAATGGTTGTACCCCTTACCCATCAAAAGCAAAAGCTTTGCAAAGGAGTGGAACAACATGGAAAGTGTGAATCTCTATGGAGGCGGCACACTCTCACAGGATGTCGTCTATTCTAGTCACTCCTTCCATCCTGTAAAGGGTTTCTTTCTGTCAAAATCTGAAAAACCTACAAATTCCTGAACCACAGAAATGAAAAATGCTAGAAAAACCGGCTCAGTGGATTTTCCAGAATGAATGAGTGAACATGCAGCTCATGCTGTGAGGTTAAGAAATGTTTGACTGTTCCCACTTGGCGAAATGAATGTCAAACTCCATGTATTATATTACAATTTTAATAAAAGAATGACCATACCAAACACAAAGTACAGAGTGTCTAGAAAAGAAAAACATAACAATACTTGCAACAACAATGATTGCATAGAACCTTTGAAAAACAATACACACAGTGGTCTGGAGATTAACAAGATGAAACCGAAGTTCAACCCCCTACCACCAGTAAGTGCTCGCTGAGGCTTTTGGGAATTGAAAAAAGACAGTATGTGGTACTTGACGAAAACTATTTAGGGTGCAGAATAGCAATGTTAATCGTGTGAACATATAAGACAGGCAAACATCTGTACAGGAAGCAGAGTCTCCGTAACGCTGGAGAGAATCTGACTGCCAACTGGGCTTCCTATTGAGAAAAACTATTCAAGATCAGCTTCTTTCCCTTGCTGAAGTGCCCTTGAGCAAAACACTAACTGTGCTGCAGATGTAAGAGGGGCTGCCTGGTACCCTACACACTGCTCTGACCTCCCAGCTCAGCACTTCCCAACAGGGATTGTACAGTATTACAATATTATTACATTTTGGATCATTGGTGATGAAAATTGGGAACTGGACATGAGCAAAAAAACAATCATCAATACCAACAGACTTGATTAAATAAAGGCAGATAATGAACGCCTACCTGTGTGGTGGCTTAACAACACAGTCTGGCTCTTTTTGGTTAATAAATTGGGTTAATTCATTCATTGTTATTGCAATTTCTCCACATCTGGCCTACCATGCTGGCACGTACCCAGAGGTCGGTCAGTAAAGCAGTCACTTATTGCATCTTTAGCATCCACTGCAGCGAGAGAAGATAACAGAGCACACACTCAACCTCATGAGGAAATGTACCGCTGTGGGTCTTTGTGAAGACGCTGTATCTCAAAAAAAGCATGCAAAGCCCTGCATGTTTTTCAGACCCAATATATTCCCATTAAGCTTGAGACATTCTTATTGAAATATTACAACAAACCACCTGTGACACTTTCAATATAAATCATGCATTTAGTCCCAGTTTGGTCCTAAACTTTAGTTTATGGACCCCTTCGGGAGGCACTTAAACAGTTGAGCTCTACACCCACAAACAAATCTCTCTTTGTATTTCCTGTTGTTATCAGCTCTGCAGGACTCCTTAACAGGCCACACACAGGCTGCTCTCTGAAATCCACAGTCAGACTCATTATTAGTCATTTTCTGTCATTAGTCGAGTCATTTTTCCCTTGGCCACAACATTTTTTTTCCTGCATTTACGTATCAATTAAGTTTAATAAAATTCCAAACAGGTGTAAAGGCAGCAACACTTTATCTATAAGGCTAACACCACAATTAAATGCTTGGGTGAAAAATAAATACTCTTTAAAATAAAGCAAGGTTATGTAATTATGTTAAAATTATACTTGAATATATTTTATTAAAGAGAGTAAGGGTGGCATCTGTCAATATTTGTGTACTATAATGTATATAAATGATACATAGTGAAGCCTTTTCTATTATATAATATGAAGCTGCATCCCTGATAGCTTTGGACTATATATCTGAATATCATGATTATCACATTTCTGATGCAGAATTTAAACTGTAGAACCACTGTATATACATGCAGTTTTTAAATGAACAGTTGAAGGCTGCATTTGGAAAAAAACTGAATGTAGCATAATGATCTAACCTGTTTGAATTGCTTAAACACCTCCAAAAAGGCCTGGAAATTGTCAATGTAAATGTACAAAAATAACAATCGCACATTCTTTTGAAAAATCAATCAATCAATTTTCCTGCTTGTCCTTGTGACAAAGACAAAATAAGTTGTGGTATGAGGAGAATAAAAACAGTCCTTGTGCATGCAAGTGAACTCCTATTGGGCTTGATGGCTCTGAACTCCTTTTCTTTTTCAGACTGAAGCAAAGGAAGCAGCAGAAGTACTTGTCCAAAATGGTTCCATTTGTCGGAGCAGAGTTCACAGTGCCAGTTGCCAAGAGGCAGTATGTTTGAAACACCCCGCCCTGCCAGTCTTTGTTTAGCTGAGCTGCTTCAGGAAGAAGCAGAAGCATACCTGTGGTCTCATGTACTGCGGCTAGATCAGGAAGACAGATTTCATTGTAAATGTCAAATCAAGCTCCAGCAGGACTTGAAGCAAAAACAACTCCAAGCATTGTCTTGCGTGGGTGGGGGGGGGGGGGGGGTTCAAACTCACTGCTGTGAAATGGGAGATGCGACATAGAGAGAAACACGCGCGCACACCTGACCCTCCACAAGCACGCTTACATAAATGTACACATACACACACTGGGATGAGGATGAGTGTGTGAATGCGTTCAGTGGGCGCCGTCGTCCCAAGCACAATCGTTCTTCTGCTTGGCCAGTTTTCGAACCACTCTCTCCAGCTCCTTGCGAGATTTCTGCTCCTCCTCCAGAAACTGCTTCATCCACTTATTCTCCTGTGAAACACACAGGCAATGGAAGCATTTAATGGCTATAGCTTGCAAAGTGTACACTACAGACAGCATTGTTGGCTGATTTAAGATCATGACAAGTGAAGTGATCTGTGGAATAACAGTAATGATGAGCTGAAATATTGTAAAAGTTTATCTAAACTAAAACTATTATTTAGAAGCCAAATCATGAATGGTTATGAGGAGGACCTGTAAACTCATACTTGTTGTTTCTTGAAATTGTAAGTTATTTCTTTTCGATTGTTTTGTAAAAAAAAACTAATTAAAAAAAACATTTGATTACAACATGAAGCTGGTGATGACGATGACCTAATCTTTTATTTTGAAGAAAAATGTACGCTAGAGGGGATAGGACCAGAAACGTTTTTTGAAGCTTCTTCTTGCCCCTGTTGAACATGACAGAGACTATTTGAGAATTCATTTGATTTTTCTTTGTACCTTGAACGTTTTCTTTTTGTTATAATTATTACTATAAGAAATAAAGAAAATATATATGTTAATATTATTGCTGTATGTTTTGTTTCTGACATGTTCAATAAATTGACAAAAAAATAAAGTGCATGTATGTTGGCATGCTATTCAATGATGCCCTAATAAGTGTTTTATTTGTGGATTTTTTTCTGTATACTTAACTCATTTTGATCAATTAGTGTTAAAATAGAAACAGTGTTTTTATTTCCATTGAAACGCTTTTCTTTTGTTAAAAAAATTAAATTATTTCTATTATCTGTCATGTTTTGTCATATTATTAAATATATACATATATATA